TTGCATATAATTATTCATAGTGGTTTAACAAAATAATATTATTTTCCAATTATTACGGGATTTAATTATATATTAGAAAAAATAAATGAAACTATATAATTTCTTTAATAATACTTTATCATACTTGAAATGTATTTGAAAAAAATAAAATTTATGTTGGAAAAATAATCATCACAAGGTTGATAATCGCATGATTAAAAAAGTAGCAAAAATTCCCTGAAAAAAAATTGAGTGAAAAAATGATTTTATGGCTTCTTAATGTTTTTTTGCATTTTTGTGGTTTCTTAATAATTTATTTCTTGTCCAAAGACTAAAAATAATATTCCTNTTAATAATTTATTTCTTGTCCAAAGACTAAAAATAATATTCCTCTCAAAAAATACTTTAGTGTAGATGCAATCGAAAAATTCCCAGTTAAAAAAAAAAATCTGTATATATTGTAATGTATAACTACCGTAAAATGTCCTCAATTTGGTTATAAAATATAAATTTAGCTACATCTAAATATAATTCTAAAGCATTTGTAACTTGAAATAATAAAATAAAATAATTAACTTTTATTCGATGTAGATTATATTTCCAGTTTCATTTGATCGAACTATCTGCAGATAAAAAGGTAAATTCATAAGTGCTTTTATACTTATTGGCCAATTCGGGACAATTTTACAATAATTTAAAATATAACCAAAAAATATAAAAAGAATATTCTCATAGGTAATTTTACGTTACTAATTATTTGCATTAATACTGAATGTATTTTTCCATTTTGAAATAAAATTGAATATATTAACTTTTTTAGTAATGTAATATAATATAATTTTTGTACAAAAAAATGTTCCCGAAAAGTAAGTTGAACCGAAGATAAATGGTAAAATTGGTATGCTGTTAATTTTGATGGTATTGACTATTCATTGTGTAATATAATGGGTACGTTGTTTTCTATAGATAACAATAGTATTTAGTAGTAGTATAACAGTTGGTTTGTAACGTTTACTTTTATTGTCATATTACCTGACATTCCTTTACACTATCTAATAACATCTCAGCGGAGTCCATAACCATTTTTTTTTCATTTCTAGAAATTATAAAATAACTTTAATTCAACATATTATTATTTTATTTTGTATTTGTTCAGCTAAAATAATATTATATTTTATTAATACATTTCATGCTGTTTGTGTTAAAATATAAGACTAATTCGTTAAAAAAATTATTTTTGTCAACGTTTTTATTTATTTTTTAAATTTAAGTAACTTCATGTTATAAAGTAACACATATTTATAAAATTAATACAATTAAAAAAAAAAAATTTTAGATTATGATTCTAGTTCTATTTTTGCTAAATACTCTCTTTTTTTAATTTAGCATCTAATTGATATCATAAGTATTTAGATTCAAATAAAATAGGTTTCATTAAATTTGTTTTTTTTAAGTAAACTGTAAGCTTGCTAAGTTTTAAAAATATTAGTAAAATTTTTATAGAAAATAAAACATGAATTATATATATACAATAAAGCTAAATTTTAAAGTTAATTTATTTTAATTAATTTCTTATAAGACAGCATAAATCTTACAATAAATGTTTGAACCTCTTATAATCATTCAACACTGCCATTGAAGAAATTATTTAGCAATACTCTCTCTTAGACAATCTTAGGTGAAGATTTCACTGGAAATGGTCTATAGACTACTTTAAAAAAATAATAAAATAATATAATGTACAAAGAGGTTCAGACTGTAGGTGTTCCTTTTAAAGTAACCATATCATCAATGTTTGAACCATATTAAAAATAATTACTTAATGTGTATAACAGATAATAAGTATTCATATAAAATAAAGTTTTTATTAGAAATAAAATGAAGAACCTTCCTATATAATTTCCTAAAAATATGATAAAATTTTCTCGATTACTTTGAGGTATAGTTATTGTTGTTATCATCTAAAAAAATCATCACTAAATTTGAGTGTTTATTTTTGCTTTACATTCATAATTTGTGGTTAATTGAATAATTCAATATAAGAATATAACAGAGATAAATAACATTAAAAGATCGAAAAGAAATTAGAATATTGAGGAAAGTTAAGATAGATAGTGTTCATAATTTTTTTTGATTTTTAATTAGTTTTTTGAAAACAAAATTATTTGAATAATTTAATACATCTTGCATTCATATTTATAGTACCTTACAAAATTAACAAATAATTTATTCAGCAGATTCACTGGTTTTGTTTGAATAGTAAAATTTTTAAATTCTCGTTTATTACAGAAATATTTATTCATTATTAATATAAATTATCACTTTCAAGAAATGCAGAAAAAATTACCCGAATTATATAGAAAATGAATTACGTATAAAATAATTTCTAACCAATCCTAATTTTTAACTAAGATAATTTTGGATCATAAAGTATCAAATTGTAATCACATTTATAGTATAATACAATAACTTTTCTGATGTCCATATTTAAAATATATAAAATGTCAAATAAAATTAATACATGATGCCTAAGCCCATTTAAAATAAAAAGATTTTTTAATTTATAGTAATTCAAAAACTGCCTTAGTAAAAATATAATAATAATTACAGTAAACTAAGTATGAAACTTGATTTAATAAAAATATATACTTCTTAAAAACATTGAATAATGGTTAAATTAAAGTTTAATATACAACTTTATATGAACAGTAATTTTAAAATGAATTATAACTATAAGTATACGATGTATTGTTTAAAAAAGTACCATACCTTTTTAATAAATATTTGGATTATAAGACAAAAGGCAAATATTGCTCTCTATGAATAATATCATTTAATATTGATTTATTCTATTTTTATGCACATAAGTGTGATGAAATCTTCAAACCACATTGACAACTTAGTACAGTCCTCTCTCGTTAAGCTAATAACTAAATTCTGGGAAAATGCATTTTCATTAATTGAAATCGATTGTTTTTGCGTCATTAAATTATATGCAAATTCACAGCATATAAATGATGTCAACACTTAATATATTTTTTTAAATAATATATCTGTATAAATAATGAAAATTTAATGTTTGCGTATAAATTTCAGTAAAAGACATTAACAAAAAACGTAAAAGTATTAATTCAAAAATTTTAAATTTTTCACAAGTTATCAATGTATGTTAAAAAAATAATTTTTTTGTCAAGTATAATACACTTTGCTTTAACATGGACTGATAAAATCAATATTTTCAATCAAGTAATCTACACTGTTTAACTATTTTAATTCTTTTTATGAAAATTAGTAGTTGCACAAATAAGATTATCACACTAAACGTTAACTGTGAACTATTTAATTATTTCGTAATGATACACCTTTTTTTTAATAAATCCATTTGTAACATGTTAATTTTAAATAACTAAAATTTGTAAAAAATTAACTCTAACGCAAACATATAATCACAATAAAATCGTAACCCTCTCTATTATAATTATGTAGTATAATATTATCAAAATAATGTTATGTTTTAAATTTTATTTTCATAGAATAAAATAAAAAAATAAACGATATTATACGATTTTGGGATGTTTACCCTTCAAGCTAGAAGAAAATTTAATGATGTGAAGTGAATTTATAATTTATTAAATAGTAAAATCGATTTCCCAGATATTTTAAATAAAATCAAGTTTTATGTACCTATTACTAATCCAAGAGCATTTTCGTGTTTTTATTTACCTACACAAAATAGAATTATAGTCATAACTCCCCACTAAATAGCATGTTACTGTTTTGTAACTCTTTATCTAACTTTGATTTCCATTACCATAATTTAGCCTTGTTAAAGAAAATGATACTTTAAATATTATTTTTTATTAAAATAATACATTAAATTTAATTATTTATATTTCTTTTTTTTGTTTTAAATTCTTAATAATATGTTTATCTTATTGTAAATATATATTTAAATATTGTTTTTATAAAATGTATATTAACTTTACCTATTACCTTAAAGTTACTTTAACAATTTCTCAATAAATAAATAATTTAATAAGTTTACGATTTCATTGTTTTGAAATATATTCAATTATTCTTGAAATAAAATACAAACAATATTTTTCGTTTCTTGTGTTTTTTTAACAAAAATAAAATTAATAATTTTGTTTCTAAAATTTTGAGACATTATAATTATATCGAAACTTTATAAGATTTTTTACATTTTAAGTATGAAAAAAGAAATATTTCTAATATGATCAATTTTAAGGTACAGTAAAGTAACTTCTATGTTTATTTATAAAATTTGCAAACCAGCATAATTTTTTCAACTCTCTTTATTTAAAAATAATAGAAGTATTTCTTTTTTTTTAACAATATTTTAAATATAATATCATTTAATATAATGAAATGTTTTAATAAATAAAAATAATTGTTATTCAATCAAGATGTTTTAAGATTGAAACATTCTATTGTCCTATTGCGTTGATAATATCAAATTTCACAGTTTAAACTTATACTTAGCTCTTATATCAATATTCTATTACTTTTTGCATTATTTGAAATAAAAAGTGTACATACAATTTACAAGTATATCATAAAGTGAGAGGTGTTACGATTATTTTTAAATTTATTACAAAGTACTAATAAAAAATTGACAGAACTATAAAGTATGCAAAAAGTATTTAATCTGATATATTTATATTAATAATATAATCTACGTAATATAAATAAATCAAATAATAATTTTAATTTGAACAGCATAGAAATGAAAAACGATTTGATTCAAATATTCGCTCATTCAATTGTGCACCAAACAGCACATTCAATACATTTGCAATAAAAAATCAAAAATTACAGTTTTCACAATGGCCACCACTACAAACATTTGAAAAATATTCCTTTCCAGTTATTTCAGCATTCCAACCAACATCAATTCCACTAAAAGAACAGTTATCTCCGTTAACCATTTTACCACCTACTTCATCATCACCATCATTATCAAAACTGTTTTCTACAACTATACTTCCAGAACCGTCATCTCATCTTACTTCAACCACAATAAGCACACCTCCACTAACTTTACTACAACCGGAATCTCAGCAATTACCTTCTTCAACGACTCCATTATCTCCATCTTTACCAAAACTGCCATCTAATCAATCATCACCAACGATTCCATCGCCACCGCCACCACCACCATTACCCAAACTACCATCTAGTCAATCATCACCAACGATTCCATCGCCACCGCCACTGCCACCACCACCATTACCCAAACTACCATCTAATCAATCATCACCAACGATTCCATCGCCACCGCCACCGCCACCACCACCATTACCCAAACTACCATCTAATCAATCATCACAAACGATTCCACTACCACCTCCAACTCCACCTATTCCATCAAAATTGAAAAATTCTTCTTCGACAGATCAATTTCTCCAATCAAAACAGTTACAATCACAACAGTTTTTCAAATCAAAACAATCAACGGAATCATCACATTCATCTCCTTTAATTTTATCACAATCTCAGACCTCATTATCAACAACACCATCACTTTTACATGAAAAACCTTATTCGTCAGTGTCACCTAATCAACTAAACACAATATCAACACAGCCTCCTACTTTAAATTATGAACATAACTCCTCATCAATGTTACAAAATTCAAAAAGTGCTTCAGCTGGAATAACAAATACACCAAAAAATAAAATGAAATTAATTCATTGGAATAAGATCAAAAGTCAAAACTTAGGTAAATAAAATTTTAAATCTTACTAAGTTGATCTATTATACATTAAATACATGTATTTTTAAAATAATACTTTTGTGCAATTAGAAAAATCATTATGGTCATCCATTACCCCACCAGATATATCTCTTGATCAAAATCAAATTGAAGAACTATTTATTCAAAAACCTAAGTTACCTCCCAAGATTATTTTGAACAGTGGAAAACCTAAGGTTTTAGTTCAAAATGTACTGGATAATAAAAGAAGTTTGGCAATTAATATAATGCTTAAACAATTGAAATTAGAAACCGATAAATTTATTAATGATCTTGAGAACGAAAATTATATTCCTATTGAAAAGTTGGAAATAATTCAAAAAATTTTACCCATTCATGATGATGTTATAGCAATAAAAAAATATCGTGGTGATCCAAAAAATTATGGTGCAGCAGAAAAGTTTTGTTTGGCTTTAAATGAGATACCATGTTATGAAGAAAAAATTAAATTAATGATTTTAAAAGAGGAATTACCATCAATGTTTAATGAAATGCATTCTCTATTACGACATATTCAAAGAATGTGTCATGATATTATTAAAGATGATTCATTCAAGAAATTTTTATCAGTCGTATTATTTATTGGTAACTACATAAATGCAGTAAGTTTTATACATTTTATTTAGAATTATAAATGTCTTAAGACGATGAGGAAATTTGTGTCTTAGTAATTAAAAAAAAAAATAAAAATTTTAAATATGTTTTAAACATTTAAGAAATCGAAAAGAAATTTTTTTTATTATTATTATTAATTATGTTATTGTGTAAGAAAAAATACAATCTGTATATACAAAGCGCCTCAGACTTCACTAATAAGTCTTATAACTTTTGATACTAATATCATTTTAATGAAATTTTTTTAAATAGTTATTTTCTTCGTATATTATGTTTAACCCATATTTGCTACTATTTATCACAAATAAAAAAAGAACCATTTTCTAGTCTCAGAAAAAAAAAAAAAATTGATAGATCTATAACAATTTTGGGACAAGTACTCATTGAATGGCAAAGTACGTACAATAAATATACACTAGTACACACCCATTTTATGAATTAAAATGTTTGTAACTCAATAGATACATATTCTTAAATTGTATTCGACTCATTAACATTTTTTTTTTTATAAAAAAAAAAAACTAAAAAGTGGCTATTATTAAATTTTAAAAATAAAAAAATAATTTATTTTTATTATTAGAGACAAATAATCAAAATATTCTACGTAGTCCAAAAATAAAAAAAAAGAATTAACACAACATATTTTCTAGTTAATTTGTTATTAAGTCATATTAAGAAATTCTGTATATACAATAAGAACTTATGTTAAATTCATTTATTTTTTTTTTACCATTGACAAATAAGTTGAAGAAAAATGACACAATGGTTGCACTCCTACTGTCTTGAATTTTTCACATATTTAAGTGTTAAAGAGATATACACCATAATCTTTTTAAACGATTAGGAGGATTACTTGGTATAATTCAAGAGCGTAAATTTTTTAGCAAGAGGTTTTGGATAATTAAGAAGAAAATTTGTTTTACAAAAACATTAAGTGAAGACCATTGATTTAATTTTAATTTAAAATAAATAACTAAATATTTAACAGTTAATAAATAGAGAATGATTTCTTTATCATAACCCACATAATTACTTACAGAATAAAAATTCAAATGACATTTACTGTTAAATTAAAATATGTTTTCCCATTTAAAAACAAAGTTAACACCTTTACAAGGCATAAGGTATGACATTATATTGTATTATATTTAAGTTAAATTAATAAAAGATAATGAAAAAGAAAAAATATTAAATTTTTTTTTTCTATAAGTAATTAAGTGAGTAATGATAAAAACATCACTCTGTATATTACAGTTATTCACAGTACATAAATACTATAAGTAATAAAATAATAAAATCCTATTTTTAAAACAATAGATAATAAATAGTATTATACAGTATCTTAGTACTGATAAAACAGCATTTATAAAAAAAAAAAAAGAATAACTATTATTAATTTATAGGGAACTTATGCTGGTAACGCAAGAAGTTTTACATTAAATTCATTGTCAAAATTATATGATATACGAACAAATAAGCCAAGGATAACGTTCCTCCACTTTGTTATAGAAGTAGCTCAAGAATACAAAGATGATATATTAAGCTTTACAAAGTACTCTTCGAGTCTCGGAATGTTATCAAAAATGTCTATAGTTAGATTAGAAGAGGAAGTGAATACAAGCAATAAACAAATAAAATCATTATTATCTAAATGTGAAACTAAAGCATGCACTAATAACATATCGGAATCCTTAAAAAAATTCCTTGAACAGTCTGTCATTGATGTTGAAGAACTAAACGACCATTATAAAATAGCCATCGTTGACATTCAAAAAGTAGCTATTTATTTCGGCGAAGATTTAACAAAATTTAAAATTGAAGAATGTTTTGGATTACTTGGTAATTTTTTTACACAAATCAAAGATATCATCAAAGAAAGTGAAAGAAAACAAGAAAAAGAAAAAAAAAAAAATATCATTAAATAAAACAATCCAATCTATTATAAATTTAAAAAAGAAAGGAACAACAATAATACTCAGAAAAACAAAATTTATGTATAATGATGTTAACCAGTCATAACTTTTTTCGTAGGTAAATTATATTTTATTTTTAATCAGGTAAAATTTAATAGTTTCTGAATTTTTTAAATAATTTTAAGAATGGTATTTATAATTATTTTACAGCCTGTTTTGTATTTTTTGTAATTTTTTATTTGATATCACTCTTAACTAAATTAAATTTGTATTAATTTTATTATTTATTCGTGTTATAAAATTATTATTTTAACATTACTAAGAAATTTAATTATTAGTTATAATTGTGATATATAAATATAAAAGTAAAATATTTAATTATTGGGTACTTAAATCTTAATTCTATTTTTTGTTTTAATATTTAAGCATCTTTTATTAATTTTTCTATTTAAATAAACGTAAATTAAACATTTTTCTAAGTAATTAATAATTAATTACTTTTCAAAAGCTCCGATAAAAAAACTACTGTTTTAATTATTCATTAAATGAAAGCATTTTCCTACAAAAACTAGAAAATGACTGGTCGATAACATCTCTTGGACCAGTGTTTTGGAATTTATCAAATCTTTTGTTATTAAGCCTGAAGTTGAAGCATGGATCTATTTATTATAATCTTAAAACATTAATGAACTGCACACCACCTACCACTATGTTATAAAAATGCTAATATCTTTTTATATTAGCACTATTATTGCTAAGTTGGTTAAACATAGACGTTTTTATTTAAAAAACTTAAGTTTATACAATTTTTAGGGAGCAAGATGGAGAAGGAAATTTTTTTTTGAAAATCATTAACATAAATATATAAATTTATTTAATTTAAAGTCCTTTTTTTTAAATTTTGAAGCCCGAATATCTGTTAATTTTTAAGATAAGCTTTTGAAACTTAAAATATAGATATGATCTAGTAGCTTAGAAAACTATAAAAAATTTACCTCTTAACTAACCATTTCAAAATTGAAGAATTTCGAAGTTTTCGAAAATTATGTATTTTGCTAACCTAAGATAGCAAAAAAGAACAATATACTAAACAAAAACCGTATTGTCTATAAAGGCCAAGTTCTAATACCTCCCTCCTAAAAATGTACGTCTGTAAAAGTCTTACTTTCATAAGCAATATTGCATTTTTATTTTTAGGTATTGATCAACACTTGATTAGTTTCTGATCAAGCACTGGATGAGTACTCATTTAGGAATTACATGAGAGATGGAAAAAATACATCTCTGAAGAAGAGAAAAAATGTACAGATCACATAATGAGATCCATTGAAAAATATAGCAAAATCTTTTTTATGCCTCAATAAAAATCTAACAAGTATTAAGCAATATGAATAAAAAAAACAATGTTTCTCATAAAAGTAGGATTGAAGTTCATGAACTAATTAAAGACTAAACTTGACCATAAAGTAATCATTAATAATTGATAGGTGGAAAAGGAGGGAGTTGAAACTTAGCACTTTATCGCAGTTAGGTTTATGTTGAGGATACATATACATAGTATGCGGTTTATTATAAACTATTTGTGTATTCACAAAATAAATATAGTATTGGTAAAACAAATAATGATTTCTTTGGATGGCATTATCATTTTTATACCCAGGAAGGACGAAGAGTACGGCAGGGAAATGACTAGTGATTAAAATAGCAACAACCATCCTCACTTTCAGTCATTACATTAAATTGTCAATGACTTCTGAAACAATAACTCAGAAATTATTACCGACCACTTATTTTATTTATTAGTTAATTTTTTATTTCATAAGTTAATTAAATATGTATGTTACCATTTAAAAAATAAAGTTGACACTCCTATACGTTATAAAGGATAATCCTAAAAGTAATAATTGGCTAATAAATCAAAAAATATATGTAACAAAAAAAAACTTATTTTTATTTTTTATAACTGTATTTGTTTTGATAATAAGTGGTTTATGATGAACCAATCATTCTATATTTTAGATAATCTGTATTATAATATATGTTTATTACCTTGTCAATTAATATTACGTATTACTCTTTTGTGCTCTTCTTTCACTCTATATTTAAAAATGTTAATACCTTCCAAAATTCTATTATTAGATCAAAAGTTATTATCGAACAGCCATTTTCATAATTAGATTATTTTTTAATTTGCAAGCTAGTTAAATATAAATATTATTACACTAAAAATAAAGTTCACATCT